AATACGGATCTGAAGAGAAGCCTGGAACAATAAATAGAGTAGATACTAAAAGATGTATAAGACAAGTAAGTGGAGTTATGATTTATAATATAAATAATAATAATAATAATTTCTTTTACTTGAATATATTGAATGAGTTAATATCTAATGTAAATCGAATATAATATCAAGGAAAATACTCATTCCTTTTTAAAGAATGATTTAGCAAAAGTAATTTAACAATACATTTGATTGATAACGTTTATATCGATGAATCATTATTAAAGTGTTTGAATATTCAGAGTTATGAAAATTAAAAAACTAGAAAAAAGTAAGTTGAACAGAATAAGCTAGAATGTTAAACTTACATTATGAGAAGGATATGCAAGCGACCTTACTAATTTTCTTAATTGATAATAATAATATTTAAATATTTTTTCTCTAAAATAGAAACTTAATTAACTTTCCAATATATTTTGAAAACTATTAAATGTATTTCCAATGATTACAAATTTTACTGGTTTTTCTTTTAAATTTTATAAAATTCATAACAAATTTTGAAAAGATATTCAATCAATCTATTTTGATAGGTAAAATAGATAATATGCAAGTTATTTGAAATAGAATTAAACTTTCTGGGTGATTTAAAGAGAGAAACGATTTTAATTTTGTTTTTTTTATTTAAATAAAAAAAATGTGGCAACAACTTTTAAGATGGATTGGACATTTTCCTGAACCTCATTTAGATTGGGAACCACATATTGACATGAATTTGAAGAGTGAATGGCTTATTAAGTTATGATGAAAATAATGTAATTAATTACAAGAGATGCTAAAGCATTTAGAAATACTATGCTAAAATAGTTTTTCAAGTCTTTATATATTTCTTAAACCTTCTTGAACTAATCTTTACATTAATTTACGGCTCCTACAATAACATCTCTGATGACACTTCATACTATGGGATTTGCTATCATTGATCCATATGTTTATGCATTTTATTTCATATAGGTGCCTTGACGTACATTTATACAATAAAAGAAGTTGAAAAGCAAAGGTTTTTTGTTGAAGTTGCTAACTATGTTTCCTATATTTTTATGGGAGTGATGAGCTATTGTAAATTTGCTCCATTTATTTATTATTTCCAAAGGGACTAATCCATTAGATAATTCTCATTCAGTTAAATTAACAAATATTTATAATTGAGTTTAGGAGATTAAGATAGAAATCCATGTTACCTATTTAAAGAAAGAACAAAACCTGTCAATATCTTTAGAGACTTCATCTTCCATAGAGTTGCTCTTCTATCAATGATGATTACAATGACCATTAAACTATTCCTTAACTCTTTATATAAGGGTTTTATAACATAGAAAAAGGATCATGGGATGGGATTAATATAATTGTTTTTTTGTTAATAACAAGTAATTTAATCTATTACTTTTTTGAATTATAATTCATTTATTAACTACAACTTAAAGATAAATACAAAGAGTAATAACATTTAAACAGAAGAAAATGATGTTGAAATTCCTCTCAGAGACAAAACAATTTTTAAAATCTGATTTAAATTATATGAGACTTTTTAATTATTTTATTTCCATATTGATCAAAGTAACTTCACCACTTTTCAAAAAAAAAGAATTATGATATAAATAATAAGTTGCTTAATAAAGTAAAAATAATGTAAGAACATATAATTTCTTTTTATTGATAAATGACGAAGTTAATATTTAGCTAATTGCTTTAAATTGATTAAAGTCAAAGAAATCAATCTTTAATATTAAGATTAAAATAGATTAATATATTTAGAGGGTATCGCTACTATGAGTATAGCTACCAGACATTTGAAAATATTCCAAATTTCAAATTTTATTATCAAAAAAAGAAGTCTTTAAAATTTTTGGGTTAATGATTGGATTGACTATGATGAGGAAAAGTGGAGAATTTAATAAATACAATTCATTGAAAATCCTAAAATAACTGCTGATTGGTAAGGATAAGAACAAAATTAATGTATTAATTAGGTCTATATATAAATTTCTGAAGAATTTTAAGGGCTAGTACTTTTAATCATTTAGGATATTTAGAATTAATTGAAACGATTTATGATGATGCAAGAACATAAATTAATTTGATAACCAATAGAGCTCTTTTTGAAGAGTTAGTGAGGGGTAATTCATTTTTGATGGGATGGTACGACTTTTATCAAGCCTTTTCTAAATGTTGTGAAGCGTGGGATGATTAAAATATAGCAATGTTTGAGGATACTTTTGGAGTAACCTTATAAATTATTAGTCTCATCTTTTGACCTAAGAAATTAACGCCTTTAGAATTGTTTTAATCACTTTATATTTAGTCAATCCAATTATATCAACGTCATCATTTGCATTTTTTTAAAGGAAAGTATTCATAGCTTTTTCAGCTTTAAGATAGCTGTCTAATATTCTATTATGTGTTATATTTACCACCCTTAGAATGTAGGAAATCATGTAATGTTGGCTAATATATTAGGCAAATAATGTTGATTTTGGAACATTTAGACAATTTAGTTCTGAAGGTTACATTAAGTTCAAAAATTATGCATCAAAATTTTCAGGCAATATTGCAACTTCAGTATTTAATTATGAACCTGACGATAGAATTGAGAACAAGATAACTGGAGTATTGATCAATAATCCATTCTATATAGCTTTAATGTGGAGAGCAAAAAGGGAAGACACAATGTGTAAAATTCCGACTGTATTTATCTAAATTTTATCATTGTAATCTATCCCTATGGATGAATTATGGGTTATGTCTTTCTATCATCAATTACAATCAAATTTTTATGCTTTATTTTTTATACTAGAAGTTCTGATTAATGACTTTTTTATTCCAGCTATTGAGTGCAGCTTCAATCGATTAATTCTACTAATCAATGTGGTATTTGGATTAAATATCAAATTAAATGCTATTGGAGTATCCTAAATCCTTCTCAATTATGTCAAAAGTAAAATTATTACATCTAAGAGAGAGATGCACTTTCAAAATTAATAGAAAAGAATGAATTTCTCTAATTATTCTGGTTTAAAAAAAAGAAAAGGTTAGCTTAGTTTAGGTTAGTGCTTGCTTCTATAAAAAGTGTTTTAGAAATTGATTAAGCATAAAGATTTTTTTGTATGNTTTCAAAAAAAGAACAAAACCTGTCAATATCTTTAGAGACTTCATCTTCCATAGAGTTGCTCTTCTATCAATGATGATTACAATGACCATTAAACTATTCCTTAACTCTTTATATAAGGGTTTTATAACATAGAAAAAGGATCATGGGATGGGATTAATATAATTGTTTTTTTGTTAATAACAAGTAATTTAATCTATTACTTTTTTGAATTATAATTCATTTATTAACTACAACTTAAAGATAAATACAAAGAGTAATAACATTTAAACAGAAGAAAATGATGTTGAAATTCCTCTCAGAGACAAAACAATTTTTAAAATCTGATTTAAATTATATGAGACTTTTTAATTATTTTATTTCCATATTGATCAAAGTAACTTCACCACTTTTCAAAAAAAAAGAATTATGATATAAATAATAAGTTGCTTAATAAAGTAAAAATAATGTAAGAACATATAATTTCTTTTTATTGATAAATGACGAAGTTAATATTTAGCTAATTGCTTTAAATTGATTAAAGTCAAAGAAATCAATCTTTAATATTAAGATTAAAATAGATTAATATATTTAGAGGGTATCGCTACTATGAGTATAGCTACCAGACATTTGAAAATATTCCAAATTTGAAATTTTATTATCAAAAAAAGAAGTCTTTAAAATTTTTGGGTTAATGATTGGATTGACTATGATGAGGAAAAGTGGAGAATTTAATAAATACAATTCATTGAAAATCCTAAAATAACTGCTGATTGGTAAGGATAAGAACAAAATTAATGTATTAATTAGGTCTATATATAAATTTCTGAAGAATTTTAAGGGCTAGTACTTTTAATCATTTAGGATATTTAGAATTAATTGAAACGATTTATGATGATGCAAGAACATAAATTAATTTGATAACCAATAGAGCTCTTTTTGAAGAGTTAGTGAGGGGTAATTCATTTTTGATGGGATGGTACGACTTTTATCAAGCCTTTTCTAAATGTTGTGAAGCGTGGGATGATTAAAATATAGCAATGTTTGAGGATACTTTTGGAGTAACCTTATAAATTATTAGTCTCATCTTTTGACCTAAGAAATTAACGCCTTTAGAATTGTTTTAATCACTTTATATTTAGTCAATCCAATTATATCAACGTCATCATTTGCATTTTTTTAAAGGAAAGTATTCATAGCTTTTTCAGCTTTAAGATAGCTGTCTAATATTCTATTATGTGTTATATTTACCACCCTTAGAATGTAGGAAATCATGTAATGTTGGCTAATATATTAGGCAAATAATGTTGATTTTGGACCATTTAGACAATTTAGTTCTGAAGGTTACATTAAGTTCAAAAATTATGCATCAAAATTTTCAGGCAATATTGCAACTTCAGTATTTAATTATGAACCTGACGATAGAATTGAGAACAAGATAACTGGAGTATTGATCAATAATCCATTCTATATAGCTTTAATGTGGAGAGCAAAAAGGGAAGACACAATGTGTAAAATTCCGACTGTATTTATCTAAATTTTATCATTGTAATCTATCCCTATGGATGAATTATGGGTTATGTCTTTCTATCATCAATTACAATCAAATTTTTATGCTTTATTTTTTATACTAGAAGTTCTGATTAATGACTTTTTTATTCCAGCTATTGAGTGCAGCTTCAATCAATTAATTCTACTAATCAATGTGGTATTTGGATTAAATATCAAATTAAATGCTATTGGAGTATCCTAAATCCTTCTCAATTATGTCAAAAGTAAAATTATTACATCTAAGAGAGAGATGCACTTTCAAAATTAATAGAAAAGAATGAATTTCTCTAATTATTCTGGTTTAAAAAAAAGAAAAGGTTAGCTTAGTTTAGGTTAGTGCTTGCTTCTATAAAAAGTGTTTTAGAAATTGATTAAGCATAAAGATTTTTTTGTATGGGACCTGGATTAACTGATTTAATACAATATTTAGAAGTAAGTCCAGTATATTAAATTAAATTAAATTGAATTTTTTTTAGTCGAAGTAAATCCCATCCATATCCCTTATATTAATACATTCCTTCATACTTGCCCAAAAAAATTGCAATTCTTACAGCATCAAATAGAAGCTAAAAAAGAACATCAAATGAAATTTTGCGTGAAAAGAATAAAAACTATAAAAGCCTTTTCTTATTCATATTTTTAAACAAAATAACAATTTAAAAATAAGGGTTCAATGGTGGGTGCAGAAATTACTTTGAATATAGATGACAGTTTTTTAAAGTTAGATAGGTACATTTTTGAGCAATTTTATTTTGAAGTTTCTGGTAATCTTATTTTAAATAATTGCGAATAACTATTTGCAAGGTTTACTTAGTTGATAATTTTTAAGGCATCAATTATTTATAATAGTGCTATACAGAATTTTTAATTTGAAAGAAACATAAGAAGTAAACAATTAAAAATTCTGGATATTACTTTTCAAAATATAAGTTTAGATTTTTAACACTATCCTTTCAGAAAACTCAGTTAGATAAAAATGATTTTGAAATTCTCAATTTTAGGAAGGAGTAACTAAAGTAAATATTAGAAACTTTAAGTAATAGTACAACTGTCGTTTATATAGATATATCTTAAGGTTGTATAAGATTTACTGCAAATGAATAGAAAGAATTAAACAAAAGATTCGAAAGATAAGGGAATGATGTTTTCATAAAAATTTGATTATTTTTATATTAATTTAATCTGTATTATCTCTTTATGGAAATTCAATATCAAAATATTGTAATTTCTTCTCCCACACTGAAAAAGACATACTTTAAGGAAATTTTTGGATTCACTCAATAACACTTATTACTTAATAAAGGCTAACTTTGGAACAAACGAAGTTGGAATTTTGAAGTCGAATCTGTGTGTTTTTAAGAATTGCATTATTTAAGATTATTACAACATTCAAATATCATTCAACTCTGTGAATAATCCAATAAACAAGAAGTTATTTTTATTAACAGATTTGTATTAAGGAGAAGTCATTGAGTTGATATGGTTTAGAAGAAATTCATGTAGCAGATTAGTTTCATGCATTTTAGAGTTATTTCTCATAGAGATTCAAGACCAAAAAATAAGAAAAGATTTAGACATATATTGGCACAATCTCTCTGATATTCTATGATATGATTTGGGATTAGCAGAAAAATTCTTTAAAGAATGCAAAACTTACACAACAGATACGGAACACCTTGCTATGTTGCATTTGAAGTGTTAATAGTTAAAATATAAACATAATGCTATAATAATGGAATTATAACATATTTTGGATAAACATTATCAACAAACCTGTACAACCCAGGGAGGGCTATTATTAATATAAACGTTTCTGAAATATACGAAAATCTTTTAATCATAGCACTAGGTAAAAATAATAAAATGCGATTATCTTCTATGGAGGTTTGGAACATCACTTTATTAAATTTGGATATCATACTTTTCACCTTCTAAAGGAACCTTATAAGGAATGAGCATGACTTCTCTTAGATGCAATATAGTCAGATAATAGAAATTTAGGAGAAAGGATGAAAATTCTAAAAAAAGAAAAGGTTTATGTCTTATAAAAAAGGTATACTCAAAATCAAATAAATAGCAAGAATTAATTTTAATTTTAAGTTTAATGGATTTTTTATCATTTGACAAGGATTAAATATTTAGGTTACTCAGTATTGAGAAAAATTATATTTTTTATTCAATAACTTAAGATTCTTTGTCGCACCAGCATTAATGGTCTTTTTAGTTTCTTACAACATTTTATGCCTTATTTGAGAGTGAACAAGATTATAACCCATCTGCGTATTACAAGATAGAAAAATTCAATTTTTTTGGTGATGATTTTGCTAAATTTTGTGTTGTGTTCTAAGTTGTATTGGCAGTATTTTTGAAGGTTGTCATACAATCATAATAATTACTCGGATTAGGCTATAGGCGACTCTTCGTAATTTTCATCTTCTACTAATTTAACTTAGCTTACCGAGTTCATATGTGATGAAATTTTTAAAGAAATTATTTTACTTTCTAAATATTCAAATTTTAGTTTTATAAACTGATTACGCTGACGTTAAGCTATTTTTATATTTGTTTACGAATGCAAATTTTAAGATAATAGTGAAAGATTGTCAAAATAATTGATAAATCTTCAAATTCTATTGATGAAGTATTTCAAACACACGACGTATTAGGTAATGAATATCCTCTCTTAAAAATGACCAAAATATTAGGAATAGAGCAGTTCTCACGCGCATAAGTATATTT